AAAAGGGGGGTAGGATGGAGAGGGAGGGGGAAACTGCCAAATAATGAAGCAGTCAGAACATACACAGCATTCATCAATTAAGTTAGCTCTCTTATGTGGGCACACTTTATGGTACCCCAAAGATAATAGCAATAGTAATAATAATGAAAAAGTTTGAATCAGTGCAAAAATTACCAAAAAGTGACACAGAGATGGGAAATGAATAAATTCTTTTGAAAAAATGGTACTGATAGACTTGCTTGACTCAGGATTGCCACACATCTTCAATTTGGGAAAAATAACAATATCTACAAAGCACAATAAAATGAGGTATGTCTGTATTTATCTACAGAGCTGAAAATAGTGTCAGTGGTCAATCAGTGCAGGTTGAATGAATGAATGAATGAATCCCAATATGAGCAATCTTCCTCATATCATCAGATGAAATGTAAATTCTCTCCTGAATGGTAGTTAGGATAAGTTTGATGGAAGGTGAGTTGCATTTTTTCTCATGAGCTCTATTTCATTTTTTTTGGATATATGTTCCTCCATAGTAGACAAGAAACTTTCCCTTGACCAGAATCACCAGCAGAGGGGAGTTTTTGCTTTTCTCAGCTTTCTCTGTAAATGGCCTCTATCTTGCACCATTGGCTTCTTGAACAATGTGTAATTGTATGTGTAACCAAACAATGGCAAGTGTGGCTTTATCCAGGGCTGCAGAAGACTCCTAATTATATATTACCGAAATGGGAGAACTATCTGTAGCTTTGCTACTGAAGATGCCTAATATGTGAATAAATCAGTGCCCAGTAGTCACTGGGACTAGAGATTAGGAGGGATTTAAGGGAGACCATGCCTTACCAAGTAGTGGTTAAGCTTATCCCTGCAAATGACAAATTTATATTCTTACCAGTCTGATTCAGAAACGAGGGGCTCTAGAATCTCCAGTTTATTTAACTCCGCCCATCTCTATCACAGACAACTTCCCTGAGAACACAGCAACTAGTCACACTTGTTGGTTGCCACACTCTCTGTCCCATGGCATGTGACCAGTGGCCTTGGGGTCTTGAAGAGCTGTGAAGACCCCCTGTGTTACAGGGCATGACTTCCTTCAGCCCATTCACGTTTTAAAATCATTGGCTGCAATAATTTATTGTCAACCTCTCTCAAGATTTTGAACCTAATAAATTACATTATTTTAAAAAAGCAGAGATGTGTCACCTGTAAGCCTCAGCTACCATAGCATATGATTCAGTGATAAGGATTTTGTAAGATTTATAGCTGCCTTTCCAGAAAGGCAGTGAATTGTTCTAACCAGGCAATGTGGCCTTGCTTCTTTAGAGACCCCTGAAGAGGGAGGGAGGTCTTTCTAGTAGGATTTAGCCCCTTATCCACCTTTTATAGCCCCTGCCCCTGTGTTACACCATGTCCTGCCTACTTTCATTTCTCTTCTTCCCATGTGGACTGACTTCTTGGAGGTGTGAAGCCCTTTGGTATATGACAGCAACTTTCTCACATTGGTGCCTTCACCAGGCTTTCTAACCTAGTGACTCTCAACCAAGGGTGATTTGACCTCTTCCTCCCCCAGAAGATATTTGGTAATGTCTAGCGACCTTTTGATTGTTACCTGGACGTCCAGTGGATAAAAGCTCAGGGATGCTACTAAACACCCTGCATGGGACAGTGCCTACAACATATTCACAGTGCTGAGATTGAGAAACCATGCTGTAAGCAATGACCATCTCCTTACCTTGTCCATAGTTCCTTGTCTGGAATTCTGTTGGCTGGTGTCTACTTCCACTGCACTTGGAAGAGCGGACCCTCCACCCACTACCCACCTCTTCAAGCCCTGTCTTAGTCCTCCAGGACTTCACTCCATCACAGTCCCCTTTTCCTCTTTCATCCTTCATCAATCTTCTGCAATTCCTCATTTCCTATTTGCCTTTACATTTGGACCTGGTTTTCCTAACTTAGTAGGAATCCCCAAAATAGATATTGAATGATTGATGACTTAAAAACTTCTCTAAACCCTTTGAAATGTTCCCTCTCTCTTTTTTACTGTAAAATTTCTCATATGAGTAGAAACATCTTCTACTCTCTGTCCTTCCCCACCCCCATTTTTTATTCTGGTTTCTTCTGCCTGTCCCTCACAAGGCCTTAGCTTAGACTTCAGACTTCACTGGATGAACAGCATCATTGACCCCCACTTTTTCATCAAGTTCTCTCCTCCCTTGCCTGCTTTGTATGTATGCTACCTCCAAAACCACTCAGCTGTCTCTCTTTAATAATCATTAACTGATGATACACTGATAAAACTCAGAAGTATTCAGAAGGGTTTTTTTAATGATTTTATTTTACCACATGGTGTTGATAACACAACTTCCAGCATCTGATGTGTGAATAATGAATTGGCAACAGGTTTGGGGTAGCATTAGAAATCTCTTTCAACAACATCTTTATAAATCACAAACTGCTATCCCTGCCTTTGAACCTCACGTTCGCCAGCAAAAGGGAGAAAGTTTACTGTGGTGACCTCTCTCTCCTGACACCCACACTCTTTCTTCCCATTTGATTGACCCATACTACACTACTGCCCCTCAGATTTGATTCACTAGCATGACTTTGATTTTTATTTTTATATAAATGAACTTATCTACATACCCAAATACTTTTGGTCTTAGAATCATAGAACACTTCTACATTTTTTCTGAACTTCTTGAAATTATCTGATTGAACTAAACCTTTGGGGTGACCTTGGGACTTTTGCTGGCCTCTGCAACAGGACTGGCTAGACTGGTCTGTCCATTTTATTGGTTCCTGCTGTGGTATTGATGGATCTTGTCCAGTGGTTTGGGTGTTTTTCCAAACCTCAAGGTCCTGTCCACTTGCTGCTGTCTTGAATTTCCTGCCCACTAAGGTATCATTCATCCTTTCCTGAGCCTTTACCATTCTACATGTTCTCTTCAAACCTGTGCATCTCCTCATGGACCACACAAGGTCTTTCTGGGCTCCTTCCCATCCCATGCAGAATGTGGTGGGCTGCACTGCTCTTTGTCATCTTTCCTCCTGCTCTCTTCTCCAGTATCATCACCTATGTGCTACATTTGTGAGGTTTTCTTTGTTTGAGGGGTTTTCTTTGTGTCTGTGACTAGTCTGGCACAGAACAAGTGCAATGAGTTCCACACTCACCTTGGAGGTTAGGTTGGCCTAGGGTATCCTAGCCCTGGAAGGTTGAGTCCTCTCTCTTTTGGTGCACTTTTAGTCTACAACACTCAGAGATGATGCATCTTTGTATCACGTTAATTATATTATGTCCACATCCTACCTCCACAGTGTTGTTGAAAGACCTTCAAGGGCTGTAGATCCTGTATGTGATACTGTAGAAAGATGTTTGGTCTCTGTCCCCATTTATGGCACAGAACTCCTAGAACCCTTGGAACTTCCTAAGTGAAAAGGGTGATGCGTGTGTCTTTGTTATAAGGAGGTGACTCTTGGTGGGTCCCTCGAAAGTTTCAGAATGGGGGCTGGTTGCCAGAAGGACCATGTCTTGAATTTTCAGTTTGAAATTTTCAGCTCACTCCCCAACCTACAGAGAGGACAGAGGAGCTGGAGATTAATTAGCAATGGCCAATAATTTAATCAATCATACCTGTGTGAGGAAACCTCCCTAAAAACCTCTGATTGATGGGATTTGGGGAGCTTCTGGGCTGGTAAACATACTGGTGTACAGGAGGGTGCACACCTGAAGAGAGCATGGAAGTGTGTACCCTCTTCCATGTAAATCTCTTCCATTTGGCTTTTCTTGAATTGTATCTTTTATAATAAAGCAGTAAATGTAATTAAAGTGTGTCCCTACATTCTGTGAGCCATTCTAGCAAGGTATCTAATCCAAGGGGAGGGGGGTCATGGGAAATCTCAATTTATAACCATTCAGTTGAAAGTATAGAAGTCCTGGGGCACACGATTAGCACCTGAAGTTGGGAGTGGAGGGCAGGCTTGTGGAATGAAGCCCTTAACCTTGTAATCTGTGATAACTCTGGGTAGTGTCAGAATTGAATTGAATTGTTAGACACCCAGTTGTTGTCTGGAAAAATCAGAGAACTAGTTGCTGTGAGGGGGAAAAAAAGTCTTGTTTGGTGTCAGAAGTAGTATGAATCAAAACTGTCTTATATATCTTTGCATTCCCAAGGCCTGGGAGTATACTATGCATTTCAGTAGTTTGGAAATACTCTAAACTAGTATTAGAGAAAATGCTTTGAACACCAGGGGCAAGTTAGGGGAAGACGGTGTGGTCATTTTTTAATTGAAACTCAAGAAAATGGTCAGAAACTACTAGTCAGACTTTCTTCTTACATGGATTTCTTTCATCTTCTATTATGGAGGCTGTTGCATTTTGTTTAAGTCCAGTGACTTAGCTATCTCAGTTGTGCAATGGAGGTCATGGAGATTCAAATTATGATAGTATTTCGAGGTTCATTTGGCTCATGCAGTAACCATGTGTGACATGTTGGGCCTCCATATTGAGAGTCCAGTACCCTGTGAATGTGAAGTAGAAGGAGTGAAAGTGGGGAGATAGGAAATATCCTGATAAAGTGTAAGTAGTCATCCCTAACCATTATTTTAAGTGAAACTCTATCTGATATTGTAAATTACAGTGAAACAAATTATTTGACAACTATTATTGCCTTATACCAATTTTATTTGCCTAGTTATAATAAAACTCTCTTTAAAAACCTTTGGCTGATGATGCATTCAGTATCCTTCCCCTCAGAATGCATTGCAGTAATGATACAATACCCAACATATAATGTTTGTTTAGTGAACTAATGGTTAGTTGAATGTCACCTGAAATCTCTTCCATGGGAGCCACATGAGCCATAGATTATCTCTGCCATCCATCTAATATTCAGATATTTTTCTTTGATTTTCTGAATAGTAAGACATGGAGATAAATAGCTCTATCCAATGAGATACAGAAAACTAATATTCCCTCTTTTTCTCTCCTTGCTTCTGCCATCCAGCTCTGTGTTCCTGCGAGGCCTCCCCAGCTAACTCACCTGTAAATCCACGTGTGGAAGGAAGACAGATAAATAGCTGGATTTGGTGTAAGTAATTGCATTTCACTCTCTCCTCAGTCCCTCTCTGTCTGTTGGATCCAAATGGAATATATGCTCTTTGAATTCATTAGAAACTCCACATGGTGGCCATCTGTTGCAGATATAGGAGTCAGCTCACTCAACCCCATTCCCCCTTCGAGCATGATTTGTGTCAGTGGTGCTGTGGTTTCTAGAACAGCTGCCTCAGCATCACCTAAAAACTTGTTAGGAATTCAAATTCTCAGAACCCACTCCAGGTCTACTGAATCAGAACTTCTATAGGTGGGCCTTAGCAATCTGTGTTTCCACAAATATTCCAGGTGATTCCATGCACACTAAAGTTTGAGAACCACTACAGTATATCTCTACTGCTCAAAGTACCGCATGCGTAAGCATTAGTGTCATTTGAGAGCTTGTTAGAAATGTATGATCTTGGACTCCAGCTCAGACCAACTGAAACAGATTCTGCATTTTTACAAAATATCCAGATTCTTCATGTGTACAGTGAAGTTTGAGAAGCCATGCCTTGCATCTCTGGTTCAAGGCTGGCTGCACACTGGAATCATGCATGGTGTTTTTACTGAAAAAAAAATGAAGGCTCAGAGATTTACATTAACTTATTATGATGTGTAGCCTGGGTATTTGGATACTAAAAGCTCCCCAGGTAGGTCTAATACTCAGCAGAGTTTTTGAGAATCATCACCTTATGTCATGCTAAAGACTGGAAAACTAAGTATATATTCCAGCCATCTTATGTTCAAATGATGTAATTTCCTCCAAGTAAATCTATCTGTGTGTGATTTGGAAGGCTTATGTGCAGCAGAGTCTCCGTTGTGTACCTTATGTGCTGGAATACAGTTGTGGTTTTCTGGTAGAAGCAGTTTGGGGATCCCAGTGTTCATCTCCAGTTTCCCAGATGTCAAGAAGGGGAGTACCTTCAGCAGAGGCCACCTCAGGTCCTGGGGTGGCCATCAGCAGAGGTACCATGAAACTAGAGCCTGAAGTTGCCACAGAAGTTCCCTGAGTCCCTGGGTACCTGGTGATTATGGAGAACAGTTCCCCCAGTGAGAAATGTCTGCAGTGTTGTACGAGTCATGTGTGCAAAAGTCACCCTTCTGCCCTTTTTATAAGCATTGAATTCCTTTTTGATCTGTTTCTATGTAAAAAAGCAAGAGTGGTTTCTTTATCTGCTACTGAATTCTGACTTATCCATCTGTGTATAAGATATGAATTCATGCTCATGTCAATCATTGTTCACGAAGTGACTGAACTGAGCCATGTTTTGTATCATATGAGCCATTTTCTTTCCATTTAGAAGTTACATTTTTGTTATCAGAAACAAAAATCATAAGATAACTGCTATGTAATACAAACTTACAATCCTAGTTAAGAATAGTTCTTTTTCCAAATGCTATCCCCACTCTTCCCACCAGAACACATCCCTCCCACGTTTGAGAGCTCAAGGCATGTTTGTGATCATTATAAAATCTTACGTACCGACACTTGCCCCAACCAAGCCTTAAAAGTCCTTGTCACCTGAAAATGCAAGCATGATTCCTTCACTGCTTGGCTAAGAAATAACAAATGACTATTTCTCTTATTTCAGGAGTCAAAACCAACCATGAGTTTTATCCAATAAATTCATATATCTGCTTTATATCTACCAAAGAAAGAGAATCGAATTTAGTAAGAAACAAGATATTATTTTCAAATAATGTTAGTAAGGACTGTAGTCTTTTACATTAGGCATTTCTGATTTTTCAAGGGTATTTTCTACACACACACAGGATAACAATGGCTTTCGGTATCCGAAACTGATGGTGCAGCCAGGGGGCCGGATAGGGAGACAGAAGCAGGAAAGGGGGAGGGTGGCAGAGAGGAAGAGGAAAGGCACTGCCAGATCGCCCAGAGTCCTTACATAAGTGAGCTAGAAGTTGCCTATAGGCACTCACTGCATTTTAAATACAATTTTTCATTTTCCATGTGTTTTTAGATGCTCCCTTCCATGTTGGTGGTTGGAAGTGATTAAAGCATTCCCCAAAAGCTGTTTAGATATAATTCTCTACATAGGGATGAGTGGCCATTCTCCATAGGATGTTCTAAGTGACTATTATTCCAAAGCAGCCCAGTAAACCAGAGTCAGTGGTCCATCCTTAACAAGACCAGCCCAAGTGCTCTTTGCAGATTATCTCATTACAAACGGGGCTCCCTTTCCTGGCAAAGGAAACAATGTAAGTGAATGAAGACTATTTCTCACTTGGGCTCTCCCAAGTAAAAGACCCTCCCTTCCCCATTACCTTAGCTTTTTCTTTGAAAATCAGCTCAAAGAATAGACCGCACTGTATCACAGCTTCACTCCCAGTCAGTGCTGGGCTATGAGCCAGGAGACTTGCAGTTACATTGGAAGTAGGAGAGACCTGGCAGCCTAACTTGGACTGAGACAACTGTGACCTTTCTGAAGCCAGGTTCTTCAGATATATAAGCGTTAAAGATTGTCTGAATCTATAGTGAACTGGAGTTAAATCCCCCACATGGAGGTCGACATGTACTTGGAAGCATAAGCGTTACTTACATTCTCCTATTGAGTGGGTGTTTATCGTATTTAATTTGTTGTAGGTTTTATGCATTTTTCATTCTCTAGTTGTGGAGGTTTGTGGCTTGCCTTTTAACTTTGCAAAACTTTGGTACAAAGGAAATTTTAGAACACCAAAACATTTTCCAAATAATTTCAGAATGAACTGGATCCCAACTAATTTAATTTGTAGGAAATAAAGAACAAAGGCTTGTTAAGAGAGCTTTTAAATATAATTACTCACACGTGCAAACATGTTTAAGTGTGGGTTCCCAATGAAGGCATATCATGCAATACTTTCATGCTCTAACTGCTGCCCATTAAAAAAACTCCTGTTGCCATATGCAGGTGTGATTACACAGCCAACTGCCAATTCTGACTGGCTCAAGGATCCTTTTAAAAATGTCCAGATGGATATGAATGCCGGATTTGGCAGTTAAATTATAGAGCCCAATATATCCCTTTTAAGTACTATGGCACTGAAGCAGAATATTGATGTTTTCCCCCACCCCTAAAGATTTCAAAGGAACAATTTGGTTTTTAAGCTGGGGATTAGATTTCCTCATTTCTTTTGAATCACAGGATAAACTTTGTTCTGACTTTAATCACTTTTCTTCAGTCCAAGTATCTTATGAACAACATCAAAAAAAATTTTTTTATGGATAAGCAAAAAATGGGTCAGAAATTGGCTGTTGAGGTGACCTGGTGTCTTTAAACGCGTGTGCAGTGAGGGGAAATACAGCAGTGGCACTGTAGCTCCTCCGGGTAGCTCCCCAGAGCCTGCCATCTGCCCTGCAGAGACTCAGTTTGCGGAAGGACATTAAAACAGAACCGAGGGGCAGGAAGGGACCCCTTGATTCTTGATGTTTTGAAACACACATACACACACACATATACAGACACACACACACACATAGACACACACACAGGAAGGGATCTCCTTGATTCTTGATATTTTGAAACACACACACACACATACACACACATACACAGACACACACACAGGAAGGGATCTCCTTGATTCTTGATGTTTTGAAACACACACACACACGCAAACACACATACATACAGACACACACACACAGACACACACACAGGAAGGGATCTCCTTGATTCTTGATGTTTTGAAACACATACACACACACAGATGCATGCACACACCCCCACACATACACCTGCAGCCCCCAAGAGAACGAGGCAACGTGCTATTAGCATTGCCTCGGAAATGTCATATACATCACCATTGCTATTTCCCTTTGCCCAGAGTTAAAGTGCCATCAGGAAACTCCAGACGATTACTCATCTTTTCAAATAACGTGTGGCTGATAGCATGTGAGTTTGCCTTATCTACTGTGCTATGTTAGGGCTTCCTTCTTGCAGGCAGAAACAGCTGCAACACATTCCCAGAGCATTGCGCTGGCCAGGCCTCACAACAAGACTGCAGAAGCAGGCCCCTGCTCCACGATAGGACAAGCATAGGTTATGTAGGTATAGGTGCTTCAGGCATAGGGACGGGGCAGAAGAAAGGAGATGGTGTTTATATGCAGTGCCTGGCTCAGTCCAGGTATAAGGCAACCATGTCATGATATTTGTACTGATGATGTGGGGGTGAGCTGTGAAGTAGCCCAAGATTCCCAAGCAGATGATAGACAAGCCTCTTTTGCACCTTCCCTATTAGGAAATAAAGTCAGAATAAACATTTTAGATGAAATGTAACAAAGTGAAAAGAAAATCTGGATGTCATGTGACTTCATATAACTTTTTAAATGCTTTAAAGTATAAACAGTGATAGTAAAGAAAGGAAGCAGGTAATAGGTAACAGGATTAAGCAGTGACCTCACATTTTCTGGCCTGAAGGTGAATTCCTGCAGGCAAATTCTACCTGAACAACTGACCCCATCTGCTTCTTCCTTATATAGATACAGTTTAAGGATTCATTCAAATTACATAGTTTATTTCAACTGAGCCTCACAGAAATGAAAAGACATGACTAATAGACATCTCAAATGTAATATGCCTCAGATTGAACTCCTGATCTGGCCCTAAAGCCTGTGCTCCAAAATCCTCATGTTTCAACCTTCAAAATACCTTTCATCACTTGCACTGTTACTACCCTGCATCTACGCTCACATCAGCCACCTCCCCCATGTTACTGCAGGAGCCTCCCTACTGACATCCTTATGACTGGAGGTTTTCTTAGCCAGAGGAGCCTTTCAAATACAAGGTGGATCAAGTTACCCCTCTGTGCCAAACCTTCCAGTAGCTCCCCATTTCACTCAGAGTAAAAGCCCAGGTCCTCATCAGGGCCCACGGAGTTCCGATGACCTGGTTCCCTCCCACTGACCTCCTAGTTCTTCAAATATTCCAGCTATGCCACTGCCTTAGTGCCTTGTACTGCTGTTCCCTCTGCCGAGCATGCTCTTCCCACATAGCTCAC